AGCTCCCGGGCGGGCCCGGCTCTGCCACCGGCACCTCCATGTCCCTTGTTCGCCCCGCTGGAGGTACTGGCAGGAAAGGAAACGCGGGAAGGAGTGCAGGTCGCCTGCTGCTTCGAAAAACTTAATGAAAGTCCTCTATTTACAATTGGCAAATAATGGGAAAGGCTGGAGAACAGGCAGGAAATGGTTTTGTAGGGTGATGTGACTCGTCCGTGCACAGCCGGAGCAGTCGGAGCATCAGAGCAGCTCCGTGTCTGCCCTTCTGGGGAGGCCTTGCCTGGAGCTGCAGCTTCGGGATACGCTTTGCTCATCTTTGGGTGCTATTCCTTCCAGCCCTTTTTCCCCCCTAAGAGGCAACTGTGGCCGTTAATCAAAAGCTTAAACAGTGCAGCTTGCTGCAAACACATCCCRGAGCATGGGCAAGACATCCCGGAGCGTCGGCAAGACGAGCCGCGAGGGATGCGGGAATGGGGAAGCTTCCCGTGCAGGCGAGGCCACCTCTTCCTTCCTCTCCCTTTCACAGCACGTTGCTTGTCTTTATTCTCTCTTACTGCAACATCCTTAAAATCACGACGTGTTTGAGTTTCCTGTTCACCGTGTCACCTCTGTCGTGGGCTCTGTAGATGCTCCTGTTTCTCAGCCACCTTTTGGAGCGCTGGGTAGGTTGAGCTGCACATAAATCACCTTCTCGCAGCAGGGTGGGATTTGGTCTCTCCCCGTGTGGGATTTATTCTCCCCCAGCAGAGGGGCAGGGTCCGTGACCGAAGCTCTCCAATCCACCTGAGTTTACCTAAAGGGACGTTCATTGTCATCACGTTCTTGCCTTCTCTTTTTGAATTTCCAGGGAAGTTTTGCCTGGGATCCTCTCAGCTGCTGCATTTCAGGGCTCCCTAAGGGGGCTGTGTGAGAGTGCAAAGGTGGCRAGTATGGGAGCAAGAATTAACTTCCAATAACTAATTCTGCCAGGACAGAGCTGTTAGCTTTGATTATTCAAAAGCAAGGGAAAAGGTACATCCTCTGTGTAGAGATKTTTGTTTTCAGCTTGTTTAAGCTTTAGTATCTCTTGGAAAGGTGCAGCGTCCGGGTTCGCTCTGAAGTGTGTATTGCCATGTCTGTCTCCAGCAGGAGCAGCAGAAAAGCGAGAGTTGATTAGATTAAATATCCAGGTCACTTGCATTACCTGTGTTTATCCTCTGGCCAGTTTTGATGTTGGGAGAGGAGGGAGATAAAAGGAACATGTGCAGAAGGAGATAACTCCTGCGCTTGCTGCAGCCAGGGGGGTTCGGGACGAGCTCTTCCTATCGCTGCGTCGTGCGCGTGCAGCTACCAGACACGTACACAAACAAGCTGCTTCGCTCCCTCTTCTGTGTCCTTCCCTGCCATCCCTATCTCTCTTTTTGCTGAGTTTATGGTATCCTTCAAAGGTCCAGAATGACCGACTCTTCACCCATCCRTCTTTCCTTTTGCAAATGGTTTTATGGCCTAAAGGTCTGTGTGGCTAAGTAGAAAGCCTAGAGCAGAGCAGACCCCTTCTCTGGCCATCCCTCTGTGGCTTGGCTTAGGTAGGATGTTAAGCAGAGCCCAGCCTGTTGTCAGGCCGCATGCATTTTGCTATATAATCAATATAACTAATAATTACCAATATAGCCACATTGCAGAGCTCTGATGTGAAACCCACAGATCTGCAGAGGAGCCCGGTCCCCTGGAGCTGCTGGGGGGGTTGTTGCAGCCACCGAAGCTGGAGCCTTCTCGCTTGAAATTCTTCATAGGCTTTAAATGTGTAAGGGCTTTATATATGTATAAATGTGTAAGACACATCCTGGTGGGCTTAGACCTGATCACCAGGTCTAATAAACATGTGAAGGGGCATTTGAAGTGTGACTTTGTGCCCTAAAACTTGTAGGATTTGTGTCTTTGCTCTTTGTACCAAAGAATTGTTACAAATGTCACTCTGAGAAATCATCCTCTAGTCTTAATTTAAGATTAACCATAGATGATTTCTCATCCATGCCCATTGTGCYCTTCAGCACAAGAAGAGATCCTCCTCCTCCTCGCTGTTTTGCGATCCTTGTCCCAGACCTGGCCTCATTACTGGATTCTTGGAGTTTTCATTTCTCTAACCGAGGTCACTGTTCACCTCAGCACTGCCCAGGAGCGGTGAGTTCAGATTGGGAAGGGCAGGGAGAGGACAAGACCTGCAGCCAGATAAGGTCTTGTCAGCATCCTGCACAGCAGGACGAGCGCTGCTGTCTTTTCTGGAAATGCTCTGCCCGATAAATCCTCRGATCTCATTGTTTCTTTCTGGTACCATTTTCCGATTGTGGTTCTTATCAGTTACAGAATAAGCAACGCGCCCTGGCCTCTCTCCTCCTCCTCTCCCTTGTGCTTGGGTCGGATTAGCTTCTTTGAAGAAAAGCCCATCGCCCCCGGGCTCAATTCCCACGTGCRGTTTTGAGGGCAGCCAGTTTTCCCTTGCAGCTCCGCGGTCCCCCGCTCATCRCTGCCGTCTGCAGAGGTTCCCACCGCAGGTTGTGTCCGAGCGAAGCCCTCGTCCCAGGACCCGACGTCGAGACCTGCATGCGATGGGTGCCGCGGCCGAGTCACCTTGTTGTGTGCTCTCTCTGCAGGCCCCTCGGGATGTGGTGCCGGAGGCTGCYGGCCCTGCTGCGGGCGCCGCGCGGCGGGAGCCTCTGCGGCGCCGCGGGCGCTCGCGGCCACCACGGCGCCCCGGGCGCCCTGCCCTGCGCCTGGCAGCTGCGCCGCGACCACCTAGGTAGGTGTGTGCCCGCTGCCGAGCCGCCAACGGCCGCGCGCAAGTTTTGGTTTTTCCTCCCAACCTTGTTTGCCAGGGAAATGTGCTGCCCTTGCTACCAGTGCAGAGGAGGAGCGTGTGCCAGCGTCTGTGCTTTGCCTTGGGATTCCCCATAGAGAGCAGGTTGGGCTCCAGCTGTAAAGGTTTGGTGGTAAATGAGGCGAGATCAGAATCAAACTGAGGGATTCCTGGGTCTGCACCTTGCCCCGCTGCTCAGCGGGTTCCTGTGCAGCACCCAGGCCGTGACTCGCAGGCAGGACGGCCAGTTTGATCCCCAGCCCTTTGCCTTGCTCTAGTTGAGAAATGGCTTCAGAAATACCCAGTGTCCCAGGCAAACTCAGTACAGGCTTTCCTTAAAACAGGTTTACAATCAGCTCTGCTGGATAGCATGAGCGATGAGAGAAGCTCTTTCAATGCAGATCATACTGCTCTGTGAGATTGATAAACACTTAAGCTCCTTGCTTATTCCTTAAGTCAGCTGTAAATGCTGTCTCACAATAACTTCAGGCCTCTCTTTTCTTGGAGAAACTTAACAACTGAAGGTGTGTGTTTTACCAGGGCCTGCTTGGCACCTGCACAGGTCTAGTATCCTCCTGAGTAATATCTGCTGAGGATACTTAGGAGATGCTGGCAGCCTGAGGAAGTCCCTTATAAGAGTATGTGGAAAGGGAATTGCTCAGCATCCAGCTGTATCCAGCACAAGGGCCTCATTCTGAGCAGGGCTAGAGCAGGGAGCTGTGCTGGCTCTGACACCCTTCTGAAGAGCTTGGCTATTCCTGACTTATCCCATGATGGAAGCAGGAAGCTAAATGGATATCGGGCCAGGTGTCAAGGTCTAGATGATGCCCATAATGGTCTTATAATATGGATGTTGGATTACATGGTAGTTTCTTCCTATGCGGGGATCTAAAACTGCATGGTGGGGACACCTGCTCTGCACAGYTCTGAATTTACTGCCTGATGAAAAGGTGACATACAGGGCTGTGTGACCAGCAGGCTTTCAGCTGCCCTCCTTCCTCTTGTGGGAAGAGTGTGCCTGTAAACTCGGTGGTGGGGGGGGACCACAGTGGTACCTCTGTCTGCCAAGTGTCYCACAGACCCCTGGTGCTACACACATAGTCTCACATAGTTGGCCTGGTCCTTCCAGGCAGGATGAATTACCTTAATTTGTGCAAAGAGCAGTTAAGTCTAACAAACTGCATCGCTCATGAGGGGGCTCGTAACCTGCGGGCTCTCGGCTGCTGCYCTTGCCTTGTTTTCCCCTCTGCGCCCAGTGAACCCTCTGCGTGTGCTGTTTTTGCCAGAGCTCAGGTACGCGAACACGCTCATGCGCCTGGATTTCGTGTGGCTGCGGGACCACTGCCGCTCCGCGTCCTGCTACAACAGCAAGACCAACCAGCGCAGCTTGGACACGGCGAGCGTGGACCTGGCCATCAAACCCAAGGCTGTCCGCGTGGATGAGACCACGCTCTTCCTCACGTGTAAGCAGGAATGTGCCGCTCCTCTGGGAGCTTTGTGGAATGCCAGCCCAGGCCGGAGCGCGGCTTGGTGATTGATCCCAGCCTGAAGTTTGCAAGGGGAGAAAAATCTTATCTCTAGATCAGTAGCTGGTTTTTGAGACCCTGCTGTAAGCAGCTCTTAAACATGCTGCTCTGAGCAATGCTGTTATTGTAAACATGCCTCAGTCTTCTATTTGTGTCTGGTTTCTTCCCCCTGTGCCCSGTTTTGTGCAGAGATATGTGATTCTTCAATGTTTGGGTAATTGATGGGTCTGTTTGAAAAAGGCAGCAATGCAGATAGTGAACAGATCAGTCTGAAAAGGTTTTCTTAACTGTCTTTCTGGAACCGGTGTCCCTGCTCAGAACTCACATCATTGGTCCTTTCTCCTTTGTTTCCAGCTGCTCTCTTCCTTCTGCTGCAAGGAACATTTGTGCACTTGCTACTTTGGAAGTTTAGTAGTTTATTTATARTTTTCCTTTATTTATGGGCTGGTCTTTGAGTGCTTTACCTCTCCATGCAGCCTTGTCAGTACAAAACCAACCCCCTGCCACTCAAGCTGAAGCTCTGGTTTGGAATTGTAGCAAGGATAGTRTTTGGGGGGCTTAAAGCCTTAACCAAACGACATCAATATGCTGTGGGGCAGGCTGCAAAAAGATCATCATGAGGCAAAATGAAAAGGGTGAGGTCTTTCCTAGGCTCCTGGTTGCAGTGGCCATGATCTCGGGCTGTTTGGGATGAGCCCAATGACTGAAACTCTTCTCCTTTGCCAAAGGGCCCGATGGGCATGTGACGCGGTATGGGCTGGAGTGGCTGGTGAAGAACAGCTACGAGGGGCAGAAGCAGCAGGTCATGCACCCGCGGATTCTCTGGAACGCAGAGATCTACCGGCAAGCCCAGATCCCCTCTGTCGACTGTCGGAGTTTCCTGGAGACAGACGAAGGGCTGAAGGAATTCCTGCAAAACTTCCTGCTCTATGGGATTGCTTTCGTAGAAAATGTCACCCCTACCAAAGAGGACACAGAAGTCCTAGCAGAGCGGATCAGCTTGATTAGGTAAATGGGGATGCCCCAAGAAAAGCCTTGGCAGCTCTCTAGGAGAGCCATCAAGAAGGGACTTCCATTTTGCTCTTSTTTGGAAAGATGCTCTCCTCAGATCCTATACATTATGCACTGCGAGTTGCCTTGCAGACAGAGGGTCTGGACCTTGTACTGTCCTTGACCAGTCTATTTGAACTGAGATGGAGTTTTGCACTGTGGGATCTGACCTCTTAGGAGGGAGAACCTCATAGGGTGACATTTTTGATAATGGGATTATGCGTAGAAGAGAGTGACTAAGGGAAGTGGCCTGTCTGGGAAGACTTGGGCTTTGCAAGGACAGACATTTCCTGTTATGATTTGAAAGGCTAGGAGGGCAGCCCTGGCCCTGGGAGCCAGGGAGATCAAAAACAATTTGTAGCTCTCACTAAAGAAAAATATTGGCCTCTTCTGTGGTTATTTAAAGCATACCAATAGGATGGCAAGCCTGGGTCTGAGCTTCGCATTCCCACCAAACGACTGAAACTGGTCTTAGGCTGTTAGAAGAGGAGGGATTTTTATTAATGAATACTCCCTACAAAGAGAAATAAGATGCTCCAAGGAGTGTGCAGCCAGCTGTCTTCTCCAGACTCTCATCCTCTATCCTCCAAGTACTGTTTATTCCTCACAGTTCCTTGTTTTCCATCTGCTTCCTTTCCTGCACCTTGGAGGAGGGTGTGATTGAAAGCTGAGGATGCTAAGAACAAGAATGGAGAACATGAGGCATCTTAGAGTGGACACAAGCTAGAGGAACCTGCACCCYGGTGACTTCTAATGTCACTCAGTGGTTTCCTTGAGTTGCCTGGCTCATGTTCAGCATGGAAGGATGACCTTTATCTTCCCAGGAGAGTGAAGACCCATTGCTATGTGTTGTAACAGAGGAGGGAAAGCAATTGAATACTAGAGGAGGCATTAGAGTCTCATCTGCTGACATTGCAATGAGAACTTTGTTGAGTTGGCATGTTGTGCTGCTTGAATTTACTGTCCTAGGATGGCAGAGAATAATCTGGGATGCAGGAGAGGATTTGTTTCACCACAATAACCCCCATGGCAATTTGTGCTAACTGCCTCTCTCTTGTAGGGAGACCATTTATGGCAGAATGTGGTACTTCACCTCTGACTTCTCTCGGGGAGACACCGCCTACACCAAGCTGGCCCTGGATCGTCACACGGACACCACCTACTTCCAGGAGCCCTGCGGGTAGGTGCTTTCATTGTCTCTAGCATCACTCCTGAGATGCACACCAGTCACACAGTGATCCTGGATCCCGTTGGATTCCTGTAGAGCAGTGTATTCTGTAGATCACCTTTTTTGCCCTACACTTGTAACTTCTATTTTTTCCAGGATACAGGCTAAAAAGGACTTGGTTGTAGGATAGCTGCCTTCTTGTTTGTACTGCTGTTGTGTACGTAGCCCTGAGAGAAATCTCAGGGATGTAGTCATTTTTATGCTCTCCTTTTAACATTTATTTAACAGTCTTTCTGAGACTGTTATATCTTATTTTCCAAGACTGTCCTTTTCTAAGACAAGATAATCTGGGACAGTCTGTCCTAACTCTCAATGAGGTTTGAGCCATTCATCTACCTCTGTTGCAGCCTCCATGGGACAGGCAGCCAACGGTTCTCTCTTGTGCTTTCATCCCCACAGCATCCAAGTGTTTCACTGCCTCAAGCATGAGGGGACAGGTGGGCGGACGCTGCTCGTGGATGGTTTCTACGCAGCAGAGCAGGTTCTCCAGCAAGCCCCCGATCAGTTTGAGCTGCTCAGCAAGGTGCCATTGAAGCATGAGTACGTTGAGAACGTGGGAGGCTGTCACAACCACATGATTGGAGTTGGGCCAGTCCTCAATGTCTATCCCTGGAACAACGAGCTGTATCTCATCAGGTAACGTTAATGTGAGGCTTTGAGCTTATGGGSAAGAGAGAGACTTGTGACAGACAAGGGTAGTTTTCCAGAAGATATTTTAAACTGAAAAACAAAGCACTTCTTCAGAAGAGGGGCAGAAACACAAAAACACCCTGCAGTTCCTCCTGGAACATAYGCGGTCTCTTAGAGGAAGAGACAACCACCAACACAGAAACAGATGTCACTGCTGAGCTTTGATTTTGTGCTTGYCACCCTTCCTTCTGCTGTGTGCCACACAGAGGGGCTTAGACTTCTGCCATCTCGTCCCTACCACAAGCTGTGGCCAAAGCTTCTACCTGAAAAGGTCCATCTGACTAGAGAWGGTGTGATGGGCTCAGCCACTTCTGTTTCCTTCTGCAGCACACCATAACTTGGGCCCTTTTGCACGAGTCCTCTGTGCTGACAGTTAATCTGCTTCCAGTGCTGTCCTCGCAGCAGAACCTCCCTGGTTATCCCTGCAGCCTCCCTTAAGTAGTGCCTGATGCTCCAGGCTCACCCTGGGAATACTCGGCTGTGCTGTGATGCTGCAGCCCCATGGATGGTCTCAGTCTCTTCTCTCGTCTTTCCTTCTAGATACAACAACTACGACCGTGCAGTCATCAACACAGTGCCCTACGATGTTGTGCATCGCTGGTACACTGCTCATCGCACACTCACCACAGAGCTCAGAAGRCCAGAAAACGAGCTCTGGGTCAAGCTAAAGCCAGGCAAGGTAAGACTTGGGTTTGGGGGCCTGTACAGGGAGAGAGGCAACTGCTCTGTTGGTTGTGCAGGGCTGTTGCCTCTGGATTGAGGTTGGGCTAAGGCTAATACTTCAGGCAAGTTCCCTGTGCAGCATTGCCCCTCTTTTACAGCTGTTTTAAGGAACTTCATGTTACAGTCCAGGCACTTGGCGTGTGTTTTTTTTAATTGCCATGAAAGCAAGTTCACTTCCAGACAAGGTAGAAATAATTAATTCAAAATGAATTAAGGTAGACAAGGTAGAAAAAATGAATTCAAAGGAAAGTTAGCCAAGTCTGGGAGAGAAGAGGAAGATCTTTCCAGTCAGCAAAATGAAGACCTGCAGAGGCAAGAAGGCTGGGAGAACTTAATGTTCAGCCTCTGACTTGTTTTCCAGAAATAGAAAAGCTTTATGTATTTATTTATTTTTGAGAGAAGCATAAAGAGCACATGAAAAAAAGCTGGATTTATTTCTATTCTGAGGCCGTCATGACTTTTTCCTTCAGCTGTGCTTGCTTGAAAGGAGCTTTATTCCTATAGAGGCTTAGTTCAGTCTGAAGCCAGAGGCTGTTGAAATGAAGTCCAGCAGGGAAGAGGGTCATATCAAAGAGCCCCTACAGCCTCTCTCTTCTCAAGGATGCCTGGGGGAAGTGATGGCACAGCCTAAGAAAGGGAGCAGTGACACATTAAAGGCTGCCCATGGGCACTTTCTGTTGCTAGTGAACTATCACTCAGCCTCCCCAGCAGAAAAGCACAGTGTCCTCTGTAAGTGCTGAGGAAGGACGACTGTGCCTGCAGGGATGGACCCCCAGCTTGCTGATTCACTCCCAGGGGACCTCCAGCTGCAGGACCTGCCTTGTAAGAGGGGATATCGGATTCTGTTTGTTCTCACCCTGCCCCTCAAAGTTGTTGAATTGCTCCCTCTTTTGTGGGTGTCCCTCTTTTGACAGCCTTTTCTCTTCCCATGTAGGCTCTCTTCATAGACAACTGGCGCGTCCTGCACGGCCGGGAAGCCTTCACGGGCTATCGCCAGCTCTGCGGCTGCTACCTGACGAGAGATGATGTCCTGAACACCGCGCGCCTACTGGGACTGCAAGCGTAGCCCGAGCTACCTGCTGTGGAGAGGCAATAAATCTTCCAGCACTGCTGTGCTGCTGCATTGCCGCAACAGAAATGTTGTACGTACCTCAAACACCTCCAGCCTCTCCAAACAGTTCTCTGTGCCCAACCAGGAGAGGGAGCAGGTGGAAGCCAAAGGTTATGGGACGTTTATGCGATTGTATTCTGCCTTTGACAGAGCACGGACTGTTTTTACTGTGCATCTGCCATGCCTGATCTTTCTACCCRGCCCAGTCAGTCTCAGCTCTGCAAAGTCAGAGTTAATCACACTGTGAGGTAGTCAGCACCTGCTGACATGAAGTGCTCTTCTGATCAAGTGCCTTTGGGGTTTGAAATCTTTGGACTTTTCCCTGTTCAATCTTTGCGTCAGCTGGCATTCCCAGATTGGGCATAGTAAAACAGAATGGATGTGTTTGGAATCTTGCCTTACAGTAGGTTAGACTCTATCCCATCTAGAGAAAATGAGGATCTGTTATTCCTGATTGACAAGATGGACATACTGCTATTGTAACTGAAGAGTGTTGGCATATTTCAGTGCATACCCCTATAATACTTGCTAATACAAGCCATGGTACTTGAGGGATGRTTGRGTTGAAGAAGCTGGTAAGATTGCAATATGTCTGAAAAGGTTCAGACCAGAAAAGGAAGTAGTGAGATCTGAAGGAGAGATGGCCAGGTTAATGTGTTATTTCCCACATTATTCCTTGACTTCAAGTATTATCATGTTTATGTCCAGTGTTCTGCTTGTTCCATYGTGCTGCCATCAAGGGCGAAGGCTCCGCTCCTCCAGTGTTTACTTAGGGAATTCCTGCTGTGCCTCTTTCACCTTTTTTGAAGAAGTAATTCRTTGTGAAGGATCTTTATGCTGGCTGTTAGATAATGTGGATTTTCACCAGATTTTCTTATGTAGAGGTACTGAACACAAAGGTGCCTTTCAGCTCTGGGCAGCAGGAAGGATGAATTGGAGTGTCTGTCACATTAAAGAGACACGGTATAAGAAACAAAAGAAAATCCTTTATCAATATTAGAAACTTTTAAATCTGAGAACTAAGAGGGAGGTTTAGGGCTTGTTTATTTTTCATTCTTCATTATCTTTGGGAGTGTTCACAGGACTGGTCATTCCTGGCTTTTCTGTTTAAGCAAAATACTATTGTGTCACTATTGTGTACAGTATGGATGGATATGTGCTAATCTTGTTGCCTTCATTTAAATACTGAATGTATAGATGCTCTTAAAGACTTCTGCTCATGTGATTAAGCTCCCTGACACTGTCTCTTGCAGCACTACCTGTCTACAGTGAGACTGTAGCAAACACCAGGAGTTGTGAGGGGTTTCTGGGACAAGGTTTGGTGGGAAGCTGTTGATCAGTGGATACCCAAGGAAATGAAACACAAGCAATGACAGCAGGTAAAGTAAGTGGGATGGAGCTGGCGTCTCAGCTATGCTTCCCAAGGCCTGTGAGGAAGGAGCTGCTGGAGTATTGGGAGGCTCAGCCCCAGGCAGGAACTTGGGTTTTCCTCTAGGCTGAGCCAATGGATTTTTTGAGCAGTCTGCAGAATATATTACTTCTGTGACTTTCTTTATCAAAGAAAACATTGGTTTGTAGATTCTTATAGGCCATTTATGCCAACATAACATGCATATAAAAGTTTTATAGATCTTCCTTAATCATGTTGAAGTGGCAAACCTAGCAGTTACATATGCAGTTCCTCATGCTGCTCGGCTCAGACACCTGAGGCTTTTCACCCCATGCTCTTTTGAATCACTGTCCTGAGCTCATAAAACGCCTTCAAAACCAGGGAAAGTGCTGGTAGAACAGCCTCTGTGATAACTCACGTAGAAGCGGGTAAAGGAGCCTGGTCAGTCTTTCAGAAAGCTGGGGAGTTGAGTCCTAGAACTTTTTAAAAAGATCTAGATGAAYTGGAGGTTACTGTGCCTTCTCACCTCCCCATCCTCTCAGGATACTGGGGAATGGGAGAAAGCACGTGGGTAATGTCACTGATGCTGCCTTCTGCTCAGGTGATCTCCACTCCCATCAGCTGCAAGGCAGACCTAACAAGAGATGGAAGGGACCTAGGTGCCTTTCACACAGGCAGCATGGTTTGTGCTGCCCRTATAGCTGTGAGCAGAGTGTGTGTGCAGCTGCCAGGGCTGTGGTCTTAYATTCCTCAAATCCTCTTCTGAGCCAGCCCCAAGCCAATACACTCTTCAAGGTTATCTTGTAATGTGTTTTGGAAGAGTTGGTCACCACGAATGTATAATGTGTAATGTATTCCTTCATAGGTGTTACTCAGATTACTTTAACCATCYGAACAGTAACCTGTGGAGTGGAGAAGACGTTGTTAAACTCGGTACTCCACCTTCTCCCCACTTCTCAGGTGGACCAAAACCTGTGCAGCTTCTTAAGATCTATTTGTAGAAGCAAGACTTCTTGGCTGTTGCCATCTCTCCAATACAGGGACTACTGTGCCATAGTCTGGAGCAGGTTGCTGCTCGGATCCATTTTTGTAATTGAGCTTTGTCAGGTCTTTCAGCCAATAAATGAACTGCTTCCTCCTCTCTCTCTGTAACGTGGGGATTGTGTATATATGTTTCTTTCAGACACCCGTATGCAAAAGTTGGGTAGGAAATCATGTGTATGGTAATATCTTTCAGTAAATGAGCATTACAGATTAAAAAACCTAAATGGAAAGTGTAAATAGATTAAGAAGACTCATTTAAAGCCATTGTGAACTTTAAAATAAGTCTGTATTATCCCTTAAAAGGTTATAATGGACCAGAGGAGCAGTTAATCTATGTCTCCACTGACTTCCTATACCGTTAGATTTTGAAGAGTTTGTAAAATAGTACCTTTAAATGTTACAAGTCATTTGTTCTGAAGACAAGGTTCTTGTTTTTCATTCTTTCATCGGCCACACGATGGCAGAAGATGCAAAGAAGAATGCAAAGAAGATGAAAAATACGTCCGGGATTGCTGTTCAAGGTCACAGTACATCACTGAGCGCTTCTAAAAAGCCATGGGACACGGTATGAATCATGAAAAATGATAAGGGAACAGGAGGCACGAGGCATGTGAGGGTGTACAGAGRGGCTGGAGAATATCGGGTGGTGCACAAAGGGAATGGCACTGATCTAATGGCACATATAGCATGGTGGAGGTGGTCTTGATGGTGCATAGAGGAAGACTGGCCTGTCTGGAAGGCAGTACATGAGGGATAAGGGGSTTTCATCTGAGTCCTTATGTAGGAGAATGGAGCTTGTCTCATGGCAGCCAAAGTTGAAAGCTCATCTGAGGGCTCTTGGAGGCTGATGAGTGCCCTGTGGTCTTTGGTTCCCCGCTGTGTGCATCAGGGGGTTCCTCTGTTCCCAGGGACAACAGCTTGGTTCTYGTTGTTGCTCTGGGCCCTTTCTTGCTCTTCTCCTGTGTGCTGAACAGCTTCATTTCATCCAGCCACRTGCACCCACAGAGCTTTGGTCTTGTCGCACAAAAGGGTGAAGATGAGAGTCTGTGAGGCACCAAAAGGGAGCCGAGGAACATGCACAGCAGAAGGGGACTTSAGGGGCAGGAGAGGATAAGAGAGCCAAAAGAGGGTCCCGAGGCACCACGGAGGGCAAACACGCAGCACCACATGGCCAGGCCAGTGTCACCCGAGGTGGGGTGACCTCCTTGGGGTGGCCACAGCTCCGGCGGTGGGGCTGCAGCGTGGGCAGCRATGCTGCTGCTCGGGTGAGCCCCAGGGCCAGTGTTCAGCCTGGGCACTAATTCAGGGGTTTGTGCTCTTACCTCAGTGACTGCACTCCTCGCCAAGCTCTCATTACACATTAAGCCACCTCTGACCCATTCAATGGCAATCTGGGTTAAAGAGGCTATGAAAAAGAGGAGGGGGAAAGGGGAAGATAAATCTTCTTCTCTTAACCCTTCAAACAATACTTCCCTCAATTATTAACGAGAAAAAGGTATATAAAATACTTCTATAAAAATAATTCTCCATTTGCCAAGGTCTTTTTTTTTTTTCTTCTTTTTAGCTAAGCTGAAAAAYGTTTTTAGCTCTGCAGCTCATTTCCATTCCTGGTTGCATGAGCACACAGAGGTCACTTCAGCAGCCTCCTTGTTTTCACCACTTGGGTAAGATGAGATCACTGAGAATTTATTAACTCAGATGAGTGACCTAAAATCCTTAGTTCAAACCAACAGAAGATGAAATAGTCAGGGGTAGGATCTGCATGGAAACAGAGCGATACTAATTTACAGGAAAAAAAGGCTGAAGCAAGTTAATATTTGGCAAGAGTCGCATTTTTCTTTTTCTAAAAGGGAGGAGACRAAATTCCTCACTATTAACCAGCAGCAGAAGTGCAGGATGTGGACTGCTGTTTACATAATGTGAAATATTAATGCCAACTTGCAGGCCACCCAGAAAGTCTTAGCATAGCAGCCTGTCTGGGGGACAATAAACAAAATGGAAGAAGTAAAGRTATTTGTTATGTGTGAGCAACTTACAGAAATGAGAAGCCCCAAGGCTGCAGCTTTAGGAGGCCGTTGTCTGCAGTTTGCCTTTAAAAATGTAGAGCTGTTTCCACAGTTATTGCAAAAATATCTGAAGGCAGAATGCTTCTTTGTGCACTTGAAAAAAATGGAGAACTGTATTTAAAGCAATCCTTTGTATTTAAAATATTGCACATTGTACCAATTCATCTCAATTAAATGTGATATTTACAGCTTGACTGAGAGGATCCTCTTGAAAGCACACAGAGAAAAAGGCAATTACTTCAGTTATTGCCTGCGTGATTTACTATTGCAATCAGTTCCCAGTACATCTCACAAAGAAAAACACAACAGCTAAGTCCAAACAAAAAAAAAAATCCTGTTTTTCTCACAGTTAGCACCTACTTCCCTAATAGAAGGAGAAGCTATGTTAGGCTTTTGCAGAAGTAAAAGGGTAGTATATTAGCAATAGCCTGTCCATCTTTAGGGCCATTTCCTCTTTTCCACTAAATACCACTAGTTCYTACTGTTACATTTATTACTATTGTTCACAGTTGCCCTCCCGTATGTTGTACAGAATGCTGTAACTTTTCCTTTTTGGCAAAAATAGTAATTGGTCTGTGACTCTGCCCAGTATAAGTGATTAAGAGAAAGATCCTGTTTTACTACCACAGGCAAATGCAAGACAAGCACTTGATTAAAATAAGTCTCTTGCAATCTCTGCCAAGCCTCCTGAAGCCCTGAGCTCTGATATTTGTATAAACAGCCCCCTCCATGAAAGTTCCCAAGTTTTTTAACATTGGCCTCCAAAATGATCCAGTTCTTTATTGACATATTATTGCTGGTGAGATCATGCTAGCAGGAATCACAATAAAACTGGTTGCCCATCCTCCCTCCAAACCCTCCTTTTCCCTTTGGAGCACAGTCAACCCTTAATCTGTTTTGCAGGCACGTGATTTTATCTGTTTACAGAAAATGCTAAAAAGAGGGAAAAAAAAGTTTCTCTGGACTCCTGTTTGGTCTCTGTAGTGCTGGGTTATATAAGGCCTGTCTTGATATAATTTTGCTTTCGACATTAATATTTACTTCCTACAGGTCTGAACCCCAGAAAAGTGCAGGTAGAGAATTCTGATTAAGATTTACATGAAGAATTTAAGGTTGGAAACACTGCAGAGGAAGAAAGCACAAACTTTAAGAGGTGGTCGGTGAAAAACTCCTACTAAGCAGAAGATAAAAACATAAAAATTTTCCAAAAAAATCAAAGGTATGTTCTGCCAAATTCTTTTCAAGCCAAATTCAGGAAACACTCCCCACCCGGAGTCAGCTAAGGGCAGTTTAAAGGACACTTACTATTTATGTAAACACCTAAATCACAGTGAAACGTAAACATATCAATATTGTGCCTCTGCCTCTGCAGTGTGCCCTTATTGAAGGGTAAAAAGGAAGGAAATCTATTGCCTGCCTTGCTGTAATTGGCTCCTTAGTTCCTGGGGGTCCTGCTCAGCTTGTGCATCCTATTTCTAGGGTGAGGGCATTTCTGAGAATAAAGGCTTACTGTGTTAGCCTGGCTTGTTGCTACTTGCATTGCCACACATGTCTCTGGCAGGAATGAACCTGCTCGCAAATCTACTGCAAAACAATGTCTTTKGTGTCCTTGCTTTCGTCTGCCAGACTGGCAGTAAGAAGGACAGATGACCTAGTTGGTCAAGAAGAAGCTTCCCTGACTGTAGGGAGGGATTCCCAGGCCTGGGGTCTTGCTTTGATGAAGAACTTCCAATGACATGAATATGGAATTCACCTCCAGCAGGATACGTGCAAGGCCAAGACGTATGCCGAGTTCCCTGCAGAACAGGGAATAGTGACTTGAAGAACAGGGGTTTAAGCTTTTTATAGTGTACCTGTAGAAAATGCAGCTTCCACCAYGGTGGTCAGAACTAGCTTTTCTTCCTCGTTTTGTCCTGCATCATCAGAGCTACTACTTGAAAACAGTTATAAGCTGGAAAGCAAGCTACTCATGTGAATGAAGGAAAGGAACAGACTGAAAATTGATATTAGAAAAAATTAAAATCACAAGTCTTTATTAATAAAATCAGCTGAACTAGTTACAGAATCTTGCAGGTCCTTGATTTTGAAATTTCCTGAGGATTCAAATAAGAAAATAGTATTTTTCCTCTAAGTAGAAGAAAAATCTCTGGGAAAGTATTTTCTGACCTCTGCAGCAATCACAGAAATACCCAAGAGAGAAAGTTAAAAAAAAAAGAAAAACAACCAAAACATTAAAACTATCAAAATTCACTCCTTGGAATATAAAGCCAAAAATCTAAATGAACTGAGTGGCATGCAAAGCAAAGGTGAGCAAGACTCAGCAAGTGACAAAGCTGCAAGACACGTTCCCGTTCATGTTTTACACTTGGATCCCTTTAACCRAGGCAGTCCCACCTACATGGAGATRCCTCTTGTATGAACACCCACATGCCTGCGCTTCCCAGGACCGTCTCTGTTGCTGTGAAAAACCCAAGGTGAGTGGCTGAGCACCAGATCAGAATAAGGAACCAGCGTACCTAAAATATAACCCCAAAACAGCCTAGGGATGTTCTCAGCTGAGAACGTTGAGCTCAAAGTAAGCAGGAACTTAGGTGGAGAGCCGCAAGCTCAGGCAGCAGGATCCAGGCTCTAAAAATGGTGCAAAGAGCTGGACATCCCCCAGGATCTCCAGGGAGCTCTGTGGAGTYTGCTGATACTCAGAAAGCTCAAGCTGCTCGAGAAAGAGCAAGGCTAGAGGAATGAACTTCCCATTGAAGGCTGGAGCAGGAAGCATGGATCATCATCTGTGGAGGCCAGCAAGGACAGCAGCACGGAATGTGCCTATCAGCAGTAAAAAGAGAAGCAGCAGCTCATCAGTGAGATCTCATTCTCCTCGGTGAGAATGAGAAACTGTCGGGTATAAAAGCGTATGAAGCACATAAGGAAACGATGCACCTACGCTGCAGCTGTTTGCACTGCACRTGACGCATTAGTAGCTTCCTTGTTTCTCCTCAAACAAAACTTGCTGTAAAAGGCTTTGTGCCCTTCCTGGAATGTTCGCTTAGAACAAAATGCAGTCAACAACAGCTGGCCCAACGGCCTGTTAAAAAAAACAGATGTACTGAAAAGGTTGTATATATGTAGAAAGTATYACTGCATAAGGTATTCTACCTAAAAAAGGTTATATATATGCAATATTATTAAAAATTAGTAGGATACAAGTTATCAAGGTACTTTTGTGAATATATAAATTGGCCCCTTCAAGATGGAAGGCAAACTGGCAGTACACATGCTGACGGGGGTGGAGATGTATGTTGGTGAACCACATCTTGCTCTGGATCCAGTTGGACTCATCCTGGATTTGTCTCATGAAATTAGAAGAAAACTGAGCCACCAAAAAAAAAAAAAAAGAAAAAGAAATGCAGCTGGTTTTCGAGGTTTATGAATACCTGAGTCATGTGGGAGAAGAGGCAGAAAGATGTTACAGGTCAACATTCCTCRCTTCCCTTTCGTGTCTTCATTGCATCAGTTCAGCTTAAGCTGCGCTGAGGAGCCCCTTCTTTCCCACATCACCCATTCCTTCATTCCTGCCTCTTCTTTTGTGTGGGCTGCAGCACTTATGGCTGAGGAACAGAAGCATGGAAAGGCTCTACTGTAAGTCACTGATTCTTGGTTGTATTCTTTTAACCAGGAATGAGTCTCAGTTGGATCTGCTTGGGTCTCCGGTGCATGAATTCTGRTGTCGGTGGCTGTGAGGGGGCAGGAGCTGTAGTGACAAGGAGGAATCGCCTCTCCTGGAGCTGAACCAGCCGTGGTCGTGAGTGCAAACAATTACCAACAGCAGGGAGACACAAGAGAGAAGGGAGGGCCTTAATTGAGGGCAACAATGTGGACAGATGGGAGAGCACAATATGACTTACGATACTACTACTGCAAACAGCTGCTGTGCAGGCTGCGTCCATCAAAGCTGTGCCTCATGTTCTTCTTCTTGGCGTTTCTGAATTCAAAAAGGAGGAATTAAGTGAGTGTTTGAAATACGCTTGTGCACAAACTGCTACTGCACATCTTTTCTGCTCTAAAGAAATAGCACAAAGGCGTTGCAGTGACACCATGGTTTGCCCTTAAACGGGCATGTGTGTTGATGAACACACCAGCCTCCTTCCCCGTCCAACTTCTGCCGCTTGGGCATCACAGGGTAAGGATTCTCCCCATGCACTGCTGGGAGATGGCTCTGAGGTGGGAAGATGTTTTCATCTATTCCTGTAGGCCAATGTCATCTATATATATAAATATATATACACATATATATATATATACACACACATACACACACACACACATAAACAGCACACTGTGCTCTCAGAAGACCTCTCTGATGCTATTTCAGAGCAACAGAGATAGATGGATATTCATTGCCCTGGTGATGCTAAAGGAAGTTTAAAAGAGAAAAGACCCTTGTTTGTCCTGTTTATATTTAACTCTATAATCCCCTGCTCAAAAGCTGCTGCTGTTGTGTCTGGGAACTGAGAAGAGATCCTCAAGTTAAAACCTATGCTYTGACTTGTGGGTGTTTTACTTATAGGCATTGCCTAGAGCAATCCAGAGAAGACAGAGCATCCTCACGGGTGGTGGGAGCAGAGGGGAAGTTTTCATAGGTCTTGACAATATACAGGTTGGGATCCTGTAGGAGGTCTGGTGCTATGGTAGTGTCTGTGTGTGCATGGATGTTCTTCACACCCTTCTAGACCAAATGTCCACCATATGGACATGTAGATGCCTTCAAAGCTTGTTACAATGGTTTACACCAGTAGTTGAATCGTGCAATTTGATCATTTTCTTTTACTAACAATGTTTATCCCTGCATCCTGATTATTTTTAGGACGGTCCAAACCAACGAAGTAGGTAGCAAGGTAGAACAAGTCAGTCTTTCTTCAGTCACGCACTTTGCTTTTATTTGCTAAATCATCTCCCCTTGGACTCTTGACTGTTAAGATATTCCCTTCCCCAGTCTTCCCTATAAGCCTGGAAAGCAAAGAGATACTTTCTGGATGTTCTCAAATTGAAGTTAGCTAAAGATGTGCAGTTGTCTTCGTGAATGGTATCCCCAGATGAATGACTTGCTTGAACTAGAGAAAAGTTTGTGGCGACGGCCTATCGTGGTGTGTGGTCGATAAATACGAGTTTATAAAGGAAAGATTTTGCGTTCTTTATTATGTGTTTTGAAGTGCTGAAAGCTGAAACAAATCTGAACAGACTCCTGGGATTACAGAATTTCAGTGAGGACACTTTCAAATTCTGGTTAAAACAACAACAAAAAAAAACAAATCTTGGGAAAACTGTACCATTAATTTCCGGTGTCTTTCAACTTGCTGCTTTTTTCCTGGTGCTTCTTGGAATTTTGTTTCCTGGTGATCTGAAAAACGTGGATAAATTGTGGCCCATGATTGCTTTGTCTTAGCATGGGGTCTGTTGATTGGAAAAGTACCTACAGCARGGATTGAGCAGCAAGGCATTTCTGGAGTGAGAGGGTTACAAGAACTACAAAATAAAAAGTGCATTTCTTCTAAATGTCAGACAATCATTCTTCTGCTGAATGATTGTCTCTCTAGATGCCTAGAGAGAAGACTACTTTTAAAAATAATGATAAAATGTAGTAGTTCTATTTGYAACATTAGAATTGCCTTATTGATCTAAGTATTTCCTTTTCTGAGACAAGTGAATATATTCCATTTTGTTAGAAGAGAACTTAACTTGCTGAACACAGATAGAAGAAACACAACATGGAACAGCATCTGCTTTCATCTCTCCTGCATCTTAAATMTCTCTCCTCAAAAAGGTGATGGTAAATATGGATAATATTTGAAGGATGAACAAAAATGCTCAACTGTARAAAATGGATCCTAAATGAGGAAAAAATAGAAAGTTTTAGATTCTCTTCAGGAAGGATCAGTTGAGGTAGAGTTATGAGAGGTCTATAAAGATCCTGATGAGTCTGCAGAGATAGATTATCTACCAACTGGCTCTTAAGCTATTTTCCAGTATAGATGCTGGTGGAAGCAGATAGAGAAGAAACCAAAAGAATTAAGATATTTTTGCAATTGCTTTCTCCAGGACAAGAATGCTGTGAAAAATTTATATGGACTCAAGGAGAAACAGAACTGTTTCCTGGCAAAGTAATCCACCGGGGATAAGCAAACTTGCAAGCATGTCATTCTGGGAGGGGATCGAAATATGCTACTCCCTTTCTAATGGTCTTCCATAGGCAGCTTCTTTAAGCCCCAGAGACAGGGATGAGATAAACAGACCCTTTGTCTCATCCTGATGTTTCTTGAGGTCTCCCTGCATCTCCCACACATCCCTTCTCCACCCACACTCCAGTCATGGTGGCCMCGCGGGACAGGGCAGGGATGGGATTGGGAAGGAGGAGCCTTTTGGAATTACGTAGCAAGAATGGGCTCTAATTCTAGCAGAAGCTGAAGATTTTAGAGCTCAGGGGAGTTTGGGCTGCGGCTTCCTGCAGAGAGGAGTTTCCTCATCAGTGAAGAGGATTTATATTTCACAGTTAACCCCAAAGACAGCTCCAAGACAGCCAGTGTGCTAAAATCAGCACGCAGTGCATGTGCTATGAGAGCCCACTTGGTAATCTTCACGTCCTCTCCTCCACTCTTCTTCTCCTAGCACTCACAGCCTTCCTTTTCCACACCGGCCCTGCTCCCTGCGCTGTCCGCTTGCTGCTGGCTGCTCAGTATGTCTAATCAAGATGATACCTACATGTTTTGTCCACTTACCTTTCTCCCTTGTGCTGTCTGAGAGGACAGGCAAGTCTTGCATTTAGAAGTATGACCTGGGACAGCAGTTATCTTTTTAGTCTGTCCCAGCGGTAACAGAATCAGGCCTGTTAATTCATACTTACACCACACAAAGATGACTAGAAACGCGAAGAGAGAAAGAAGAGATATGATAACTCTTGCTGACATCCAGTCAGAATCAGGTGAGCATCCTTTTCCTAGAGTCAAGAAGAAGGAATTAATACCATCCTGACCAACTGCAAGGCTCTGCAAGGATTTTTTTCTGCAGCAAAGAGGAATCTGTGCTCCCACTTTGACAGTTACATGGGGATATAGAAACCCTGCAGCTGACAGCTACAAATCTGAATCCTCCCCTGCAAAACATAAGCAACGTGGTTCCAGAAAAACCCACAGCAGCACCATAATTGCCTTGCAGGAAAGGTGAGTCACAACCAGGTCTGGTGTTAGAAGAAGAGGTGACTGGGGCTGCCTGGGACTGGGAGCCCCAGGTTTCAGCCTGGCAGGGAACTGGAAATCCTCATTTTCTACTGGGTAAAAAATGCAACTGCCTATGAGGTATCACACTCCTTATACAATTCAGGGAGTTTTTGACGGAGCTTTCTGTTTATGAAGCCAACCAACTTAAGTTTGGACATGGGAAAGAGGTGGCCTGACTTTGCTGATGCTGAATGTCCTGCAGCAGCAGGCTGGTGAGCAGCACATTTAGCAATATTCCTCCCAGAACAGCAACGTCGAAGACAACRTAGGTCCCTAGAAACAAGAAAAGAAGGATGATAGGTTCTGTGATATTATGAGTGCCATTAAATGTTCTAAGAGGTAATTCTTCACCTAAGAGGGAAGACAACTTCATAAATTGTGCTCCTCCTAGAATTTTTACTTCCTCAGAATAAGACCCCCAAACCAGAGGCATGGTGTTGAGCTTGACAAGCACTGTTCAAGAATCAAAAGCTGAGCAATTTCCTGCTCACTAGGTAAGTGTGCTTGCCCTCCAAAATGGGAGATGGTTGAAAGCAACCCAAGGGGCAGGAAGAGTCATCTTGTTACCAGGTTTGCTACCTTCCATGTTCTTGCACAGCATAGTTCATGTGTACTTACATGGTTGTACTTTAAATTGTTGTATGACCTGGGAAAGTACTAAGATCACAGCTACTGTTAACATCATGATGATTCCCACCACAAGGAAAAGAATTAGAAGAAAGACTGGATAAATGCCTGCAGGAAACAAAAACAAATAAACAAACCCCCAAAATGGAGACCATGAGCTCTGTTCTGCAGGGATCTACATCCATCCATGTAACATAGTAGCTGATGACCCATCAGAAAAACTTCATGGAAAATGAAGTTCAAAGTGCAAAATGGGCACTGCAGCAGGGGTGCCAGCAGCATCTTGTTTCATCCTTTCATGTCTTTTCTAATGACCATATTTAAGGGCTTTTTGATACCCCAAATGAACAAAGTTGAAACCCCTCGTCTGTCTAACTGTGAGCAGAAATGCCTCACACCAGCATGCCTGGCTGTCACCCAGAGGAGAGATGCACTGGGGTTTCCATGATACAAAAACTAACACTTTAGGAATTACTGAAGGACCCATCTTCTGCATACTTTTCCTTTGGTGACTCTTATCCTGGATGTTCGTAATGCCATCTTTCTAACCTCTCCATATCAATGTTCCATCGTAATGTTGGCAACAGCCAAGAAAAGACCAAGGGCCTTTCCCTTCACCTGCTAAGTGTRCAAGCAGGTGTTCTTCCTGCCCGTGCCAAAGACACTCTCTTGGAGCTTTCACCTTGCCTGAGGTGAAAGAATCACTTTATTTCATTTGCTACCTCCTCGTTAGATACTGGTACCCTTGCAAATCAACATGATTGTGATTTTTACCTTCCTCTTGTATCCAGAGACCAGTGGCAATGGTCAGAAGAAGGCTGGAGCCAAACAGCAGCACGAGAGAGCCTAAACAAGACCATATCCAGGACACTACTCCTAGGGAAGCAACATATTAGACTGTTATTACCTGCGTAAAGCAAAATGTTTGCCATGAGATAAGACTATTGCACAAAGGACTGAACACAGCTACTTCACTGGACTTTTGAACCAAAAGCAGGGAATTTAAATAACTTCTGTCCATCCAGAACAGCGTGCCGCTTTTACAGACCTGGACTTCTGTGGCAGAACTAGGCCCATATTCCAGTKCTAGCACTCTACTCAGCTCTTTATTCCTGGCAAAAATAAGAGATTTCTTTTGACCCAGTGCTGTGCAACTGTTGACAAGGAAGGTAAATACAAGCAGATGGTGTTTGCTGTAGAAACATCATCTCATTTGAAAATTGCAGGAAAAAAAAAATCAATAGCAAACTAGACTCTACAGGAAATTAAGGAAATGGACCATTAACAAACCCAAGTGTGATGGCTAAGGCTGGCCAAAGTGTGTCTTTATCAAAACAGACCTGAAGCTGTGGGAGGTGGGACTACTTCACATGTTTTAGAAACATGATAAGTATGAAAATAAGCATGCAGAGCTGTTCACAGAAAACGAGTAACGTGCCTTTTTGCTTCGTCTCTTCTTACTTGCAAATTTGTCTGCCTCCATTTGTTTTTAACAGCAGCAACTACATCAAGTATGAAACCCGTGTTTACTAAGAAGGCGTTTTTCARGACCAGAAGGAAGGAATGAGGGAACGTACCAACTCTTTTTTTTCCTGATAGGAAGTACAGAAGAAAGAGACCAAGTGTGGCAGCCCATGCCAAGAAACTAGCAGCGGTAGATATTTTCTCTGCTTGCTTCAGAAATGGTTTCAAACCTGCAATGACAGAATTCTGTCTCTCATCGACAAACTCACAAATGAGGAATTGAATTGGCATTCAGAAGCTAAAAAAAGATGATGAGAGAAGGAAGACATTATAATAAACATGGGGAACAGGATTTTGATTTCTATGGTKCAAGCTTCTGCTATATCCCTTACCATCAACGATCAAGTCCAGGGATGCTTCATCCCAGCTTACTTCATTGCTGACATTGCATGAGTAGGAGCCACAATCCGATTTCTGCCCATTCTGTATTTGCAAAACTCTCAGGTCTTCAGAAAACACATAACGGGTATCTGGGTGAAGCAGCCGCCCATTTTTCTTCCAAACAACATCTTTTACTGTGGCAAGATGCTCTACCACACAAGATAACTTGATAGGTGTATCAATCAGCTTTGAATCTGTCTCTAAACCAGGTTTGGACACTGGGTCTAGGAGAAACAAGAGTTGGATATATTACCTTTTTTTCATACTATTTTAAAAGTTCACTTTCCAAAACTAGGCACTTAACAACTTGTCACCTAAATTGACCCAAATATGCTGATGTATATTGGCAGAAGTACATATTGGCTAAAGACATCTTCTTTAACTGTAGTCTGCTATAAACTTTTACAGTCTGTATTTCTGCATTCAAATGCACTATAGATAATATATATTTTTGGTTAATTATATGCTAAATGCTTTCTTCATGAAAATCAGTCTTCATTTCTACCTCGGTCTGTAGAAAGCAAATTCAATGTAAACATTTCTGAAGCATAGTGTTAAATTGCTCTTCCAGTACACACACCCACAAAAAAAAAGCCATAAAATATGCTTATCATAGGCTACCTTATAATAAGCCCATCTGCTTCCCCGGAGCTGGAATGAGATCTGGTTTCTGTTTGCTTTAATAGTTACTCTACATGTCTGCTTTATTAAAGTCAGATCTGGTTTCTGTTTGTTTTAATAGTTACTCTACATGTCTGCTTTATTAAAGTCAGATCTGGTTTCTGTTTGTTTTAATAGTTACTCTACATGTCTGCTTTATTAAAGTCTCTACTTTCTCACTTACCTATAACTAGGAGTAGTATTTCTCTTACTAAGTCTTTCTTTAAGTTGACTGTGACCACATAGGTACCGCTGTCATTCACTTGTGCGTTTCTCAGCTCAAGGGAGCCRTTGGATGTATGGAATTGTACTCTGCCTTCATAGTGGTCATAGATCACAGTTTTTCCATCTGACTTGAAGTAATCCACAATTCCTTCCTGTTTTGGACCTTTTTTGTACTCCCACTGCACGAACCATATGACCTCTGTGACGTTGTTGAAGTTGAGCAGCACCGAAGATCCAGTAGCTGCAAACAGCTTCTTTGAGGATCCTGAGCATTTGGGAGCCTGGTGTAAAATCAGTAACAGCACTGAGAAGAGGTAAGAGAGGTAGCCAGTTAGTCTTACACTTCACCAAGGCATCTGGCTCAGGCAAAATGCTCTGCGGGGATACGGATATCAGTCTAGCAAGGATGAGCGCGATTTAGGTGAGTGATCAGCTCTTGTTCATGCAAAAAGCATTGCTAGGAGGGCGGGTGTCAGCACCACAGAGCTGAGTATCTCAGTACTTGAAGGCTGAGTTCGGGGAGGGATTTTTGCGATGGGTAAATCCATCATCCAGATGCTGGATTTCTGAAATTTGGCCAGCAATGATGCTCYAGAGGGCATATATTGATAAGCATGAGGGACTTAACACTGTTGTTGTTCCCTAGGCCTGTCTTAATCTTTAAAAACAGGGCATTTTCTCATGCAGCCCAGGACTACCTCATTTCAAATGAGATGTTTGGCTTAAATACCTGCTGTTGGCTGGGAATACCAACAAAACAATGTTGGCTTAAAACAATGTTTGGCTGGGAATACCTGCTGAAATACACTTTGTACAGGAAAGACAAGTTCTACGTACTCAAGCACGGATGCTGCATTATGCAGGAYGGTCTCTTACAGGAACACCGGGATCATATGGAAGCATTTAAAACTGTAAAGAAGCAAAGGAATACAGATACTTGCTATGATCTGCTCAAATCCATATAAATCCCACAGCATGATTCCTCTTCCTAAGAGAAAGGCCTCCTTGTTGCAACAGCATGGGCAAATCAGCTCCATCCCAGGCTTAGCCWTTAGCCCTTTCTGCTCATATTCCCTTGCCTCCGCCAGATCCTAACACAGGCACTCATCCCTTATGGAAAACCTCTCGCTGACTGAGGTATTCTCAAGGAGAGGGCTTCTTTTCAGTTGAGGCTTTAGTCTCTAGACTAGCTTTAATACCTAACTGTCAAACCGCACAAAATCCTTTCTCTGTATCTTCTCAGCACCTCTCCCCCAAAAGCCAGTCCTGCAAATGTGAATTCAGGGACCTCACGCAATTATCAGCAAAAGCAACTCCCAGACATCCTTTCTACCACTACAGGGCTTCTCTGGCAGCATAAGGGCTCCCTTGTTGCCAAAGGAGAATTTCAGTTGAACTGTGGATGTTCCCTCCCTTATTATACCCACCTACATAAACTGAAACGTGTATAAAAATCTATTTGCTTTTGTTCGGTATTTTCCAGAATTTGCAAAGAGAGATAAGTGGCTAGTCAGTCATTTGCCAATAACTGAATAGGCTTTTGTTTCCCTACAGTCTTTTTGAGCTCCCYTTGCCCCTCATTTAGTAAATTAGCCCTTTCTCTGGGCTTTTGTTGTTGCTYTCTTCCTCTCCCCCCCTTTCCTATAAAGAAAAACAGATTTGCAATTTGCAATGTTATTTTGCCATGTTTCTACTGCCTGTCTTACCTGCGGCAGTCCCTGCCAGCTCCATGCTCCTCCAAAAATAGAAGGAAAAAGAGTTTCCAGAGGTTCTCCGTGTAAAGGGAAACACAAAGATGATTCTGTTGAGGAGGAGCTTTTCACAAGGATTCTTTCCTTTCATGGAAATCACCACATTTTTTCCACCAGCTGCCTTGGCTCTCCACTGAGTGGGCTTAAAGTCAAGTCCCTCCTACAGATTGGGAAAGCTGCTACCCACAGCAGATCCTGGTTTAAATGCAGCCCAGAAACAGCGAAGTGGAGCTAGATGCAGCAGAGGGTCTGGTTCTGCTCTCCTGGGGCAAGCCCAACTCTTAAATTGCTCCAGCATATCCAAGCCTTTTTCTCAACCCTTCAGCACTAATAAAAAATGACAGTTCAAAGCAAATGTGAATATCTGCTGCCAAGGGAGGAGTATAACTGTCATAAAAAGAGCTTACCARTAGTATCAAGGCAGCTTTAAACTGGCTGAATATCTCTGAAGTAGAGATGAGGAAAAAAAAAAAAAAACAGCAAAATGTTGCGGCAAGAGACTTACGTTTCTGCAGCAAATCCGTCYCTCCTGGAGGCAACAGTTCGTTCTTCTGTTGTTAGTGCAAGCAGCAACGTCCCGCAGTTCAGGACAGCATTACTCCTCCTCCTAGCTCTAGTCAGCCCTACCCTGCCGCAGCTGAGTGCTGCAAGCTCCCCTTCGTGCAGCACAGAGGGATTAAACGGTACCGCTGCCCTTCTGCAAAGAGAAATGCAAGTAAATCGGCTGGTAAATCAAAATAAGTTTACTTAAGCACTTAAGTACAGCATGTAATGGGGCATAGAATCATAAAGTCATTATGGTTGGACAGGACTTTTAAGACCATCAAGTCCAACCGGAATCCCATCACCACCATACCCATGAAACCATGTCCTTAAGCGCCTCGTCTACACATTTCTTTAACTCTGCCAGGGATGGAGACTCCACCACTTCCCTGGGCAGCCTCTTCCAATGCTTGACTACTCTTTCTGTGGAGAAATATTTCCTAATATCTAACCTAAACCTCCCGTGGTGCAACTTGAGGCCATGTTCTCTTGTCCTATTGCTAGTTATTTTGGAGAAGGGACCAACCCTCGCCTCACTACAATCTCCCTTCAGGCAGCTGTAGAGAGCAATACAATCTCCTCATCTCTGGATTAGATWAGCCTACCTCTCTCAGCCATGCCTTACAAGCTCTGCACTCCAGCCCCTTCACCACCTTCTTTGGACGCGCTCCAGCCACTCAGTGTCTGTATCAAGTGAGCAGCCCAAAACTGGGCGCAGTATTTGAGGTGCAGCCTCACCAGGCCCAAGTACAGGGAGACTCATGTTCAGCTGGCTGTTGACCAACGCCCACAGATCCTGCTCCGCCACGCAGCTCTTCAGCCATTCTTCCCCAAGCCTGTAGCATTGCGTGGCGTGGTTGTGACAGCATCCAGCACTAGGCCTTGTTGTACCTCATGTGGTTGACTTTTGCCCGTGGAACATGGTTGTGGACGGCTTTAGGCTTTTGGGAAGGACAGGTCAGGAAGGCGAGGTGGGGGCAGTGATTTTTATGTAAGAGAGCAACTGGAAYGTAGGGAGCTGAGCACACGGGAGGATGAAGACCGGATCGAGAGCGTGTGGGTGAGGATTAAAGGGCAGGCCAAGAAGGGTGACACTGTGGTGGGTGATTACTGCCGGCCTCCTGACCAGGAAGAAGTGGATGAGGTCTTCTACAGGCAKCTGCAAGAGGCCTCATGATCACAGGCCCTGGTCCTTATGGGGGCCTTCAAACACCCTCATGTCTACTGAGACAACCACACAGCTAGGAGCAGACAGTCCAGAAGGTTCCTGCAGAACATTGCAGATTCTTGATACCACCTGGTAGATAAGCCAGCAAGGAGAGGGGCACTACTAGACCTGAAACTAAGAGATGRTCTAGTTGGAAATGTGAGGGTTGAGGACAGTCTTGGCTGCAGTGACTATGAGATGTTGGAATTCACAATCCTAAGTGGAGGAAGCTGGGCATGAAGTAGGATTGTAACCCTGGGCTGTAAGAGTGCTAACTTTGACCGCTTCAGGGAGCTCCTTGAAGGGATCCCCTGGGCCAGGGTCCTAGAAGGAAAGGGGGTTCCGGAGAGTTGGCTAATATTCAAGCATCACTTTCTCCAAGCTCATGATCAGTGCATTCCTACAAGAAAGAAGTCAAACAAAGAGGGTAGGAGACTTGCATGGATGGTTAAGGAGCTCTTGGGAAAATAAACAGAAAAAGAGAAGTTGGAAGGGACCTCTTAGAGACCATCTAGTCCAACTCCCTTGCTCAAGCAGGGACACCTAGAACATATGGCACAGGCAACTTCTCAACTTACCTTAGCAATGTCCTTGTACACTTTCCGAGTTGCCTGCCCCTTCTTCCAAAGGTGTTACACGAGCTTAAAAAAAAACAAACCAGTAAGAAAACAGCATTTCACTTTCATTTGAATGCTTTTTAGTTTGATTTCCTCACTCCCCTAGAAGAGTCGTGAAGCAGAGCTTTCCTCACTCTGCAGCACTGCTTTCCAGGAGATGGCACCCTGGAGTTGTCTGATTCCTGCGCCTCCATCCCAAGCTGAAGCTCATTCTGGCCTGCTTACCAGGAGGAAGATACACAAATATTTCAAACTAAGCTTTGAATCCTAAATTATCATCTCCTGGCCTTGGCCAGGCCTGCTCTCTGTTCTATGGCCTAGCGCAGCAGGAATAGGCCTGCAACGAACTTGTGCTGGTGCAAGGAAAGCTCTGGGTCCCCAGCACCTCTGCACAACATATCCACAGTGCCACGGTGACCTGCTCGAGGTCACTTTGCAAATCAGAAAGCAGTGGCGAGCARTAATTCGCCCACTGATACAAATGACCTCTTCTGTAGAGCAAGMTGATATATCTTTCAGGTTGCTCTTTCATCTCAGTGGTGCTGGATGTAGTCTCTGCATCCCTGTTTTTTCCGGTCCCATAATCTCTTAGTGTGCTGCTGCTGCTTCGAACACAAGAAGGAGGCATCAGGAAAACCTGGAGTTAAATTGGCATGTCCGTGCATGTTCAGTCTTCATAATGTTTTGCCATTTGTAATGGGTTTCTTGCCAGCTCCTCACACTTCTGCTCTCTCTTAGATGGCTGTCTGGGTGAACAGAGCAATAAAGGCAACACTGTTGTCCTCAAGCACTCAGAAACCATTAGCTAAGCGTCCAAAATTGTGTGATTTCATTCTATAAGTGAGATTTTCTTTCACTTGGTTTTGTTCTGTTTCCTCAGCTTTTTCACATGTATGAGGTGTCAAATCTGACTATTAAAAGAGAAACACCCTCTCCTGTCATACATTTCTGAATGTTCACATGACAGCGGGAGTTTTAAGAAGTGCTCAAGGATCCCAGGGGATGTCGTAGAGGCTGCAGGACTGTGGCTGCCTTCCTGCTGGCTGCAGGACTACAGGGTGTTCGGCAGGGGAAAGGCAACAGGCTCGATGTGGTTCAGCTCAGCTTCCAGCCTCTGTGGGGAGAGTCTCTGCAGCTTCACGTTTTGCCTCTTTGCAACCCCTTTGACCATTCATCTTCAGGTAGGCGGCCCTGTGTCATTGAAGATGAGCCATTTCCCATGGATTTGCACATAAAGCTGTCCCTTGAGCAATGCAGAAAAGAACCCAGAATAAGGGGATGTGGAAGTGACAAGGAGCATCTCTAAAACATCACAAACACGTGCTGGGATGAATGACATGTTCTGTTGGTTTAAACAAAGGTACAGCTTACTCACAGAGCAGTACAAGCACCATCCCAGCCACACAGGTGTTATTTGTCTGGGGTCGCTATTGGCATTTTGCTTAAAAAGTCCAGGCAACCTGCCATGAACCTGCCTGGTGATGCAGCAGCAGGAGGGAAATCACCTATTTGCACCCAAATTGCATTTTAAAATTTCATAAACATAGATTTATTTAGTGCTTTAGCTAATGCCATGTCAATTACTTGCTGTCCCATTGAACTAGCAAGATGCTACTGACTCCAGAGCAATTTATTTCATCCTCTACTTCAGGGATTTATCAAAGGCGTTTGTGCTAGAAGTTTTCCTGGCTAAAAATTTGCTTTACAATGTTGTTTCAGCAACATTTTGTCATCTGCAAGCAAACTTACAGCAGCTCTGCTTCTTGGAGAAATTGCTAATATAAACCCAAATACTAAGCTGAAATAGGAAAGAAATCCCATTGATAATTGATTTATTTTTTCTTTTTCAATATTTGATTACTCCTTCAGTTTGCCAAGTACACAGTAAATTTTCCAAAAACAATAAAATGTAACCAACAAACATGTTTCTTAAAGTGGAAGGACAGAGTAAGTCGTATTTTAAAAGAGAAAATGGAAAGTTGCTGCTTGAGCTCCGGCCCTGCAAGCGTACAATGCCTGTGCTCAGAACAACACGTTTTTCACCGCATGGGCTATTCTGGGTGTTGTACATGTGTGGGTCGCGCTTGTCTTGTACTTGCAGAGTTCACCATGATGCTGATATCGGGTTAGCATCTCTGCCCTCGCAGCTGTGGACAAGCAGCTGCTCTTACTGATGTGTTAGGAAAAAAAAAAGCTTTTAGAAAAATATCTTGAAGGAGAAGGCATGTTTTTCAAGAGCAAAGGGCCGAGTCCTGTATGGCCCATCCTGATGGGATCAGAAGGAAAGCAGATGAAGGAGCCTCCTCTGCAAGAACATGGGACAGGAAGGACACAGTACAGTGTGCAGGCTTCATCTGCATCAGCAAAGAGACCAGCCTGGCACTGCTGCCCAGCAGGGCAGCCCCATCAGCATTGCAAGCCACTGCAGATCTGTAAATGGGAATGGTGCAGAGGACGGGATCTCCACACCGTGGTCACTTGGGAGCGGTATTTTGGGGCACCTTCACTCTGGCTCCTTGCGTGTGCAGCAGCAGTTGGCGCACATGACATGAAGTTGTTCCAGCCCGCGTTCGTTCAAGGGTAGCCCAGTTTGCAAGCCACAAACCCAGTCTAGCTTAGATGAGTGGGCTGGCCATGTGATTCGTGTTAGAAGAGCA